TATTATTATTATTATTATTATTATTATTATTATTATTATTATTATTATTATTATTATTATTATTGTTATTGTGGTTGTTGTTGTGTTGAAAAGTTAACACAAACGATATGGTCGCTAAACGAATATTACATGTAAATATTTTTTTTTATTTGTTTGTTCCCCTACATAAGATAGCTATAGATCTAGGTTGGGAATTTAATAACCTTGATGACGATCATGCAAATGCTGATGCTGATCCTGATTATACTTATGCTGTTTTGATTTGATTTTGATATTGATTTCAATCCTGATGTCGATACTGATAACGATGATGCTGACGCTGATGAAGACAGTGATGATGATGATGATGCAGATGCTGCTGCTGATGATGCTAGTGCTAGTGCTGTCGACGATAATGATGTTGATGCTGATTATACTAGTACTGGTACTGATACCGGTGTTGCTGCTGCTAATGCCGATGCAGCTGCTGGTGGTAATGCTAGTGCTGACGACGATGATGTTGATGTAGATGCCGATGGTATTGCTGCAGATACCGATGCTCTGCTGATGATGATGCTAATGCTGCTGATGTTGATGCTAGTGTTGAAGATGATGTTGATGCTGAAGATGGCCCCTTAACGACCAAGCTACATCTCCACTACTGATGATGTTATACTGCTGATGCTGACACTGATATTTATGCTGATGTTGATGATGATGATGATGATGATGACCACGCTGATGCTGAAGCTGATACTGATGACGATGCTAATACTGAGGCAGATTCTGAATAAATATTATCTACAACCACTCAAACGTTTTGTCTTACAAGTGACAGAGACATACGGTACTGAGAGGCTACTAAGCTTTAATTATTTGTCTTGCTAACCATATTCAATGGTGTTTCTCACTTTTGGTTAAAGGCGCAAGGTTCTGGAGCTGAGTTCCGGTCTCGATGATATTGGCGATATCGTATGGGCTCCAACGTTGTGTTTGCTAACGGTTTACATCATATGCTACTTCAGCTTATGGAAGGGAATAAAGGGGTCTGGAAAGGTAGGCTACCGTTTAATGTTACCACTTTAATTTATCCCAACTCTTATGTCTTTTTTACTTAGGCCAAAGCATATATTAAAAAGTTTTTCATTTATATAGCGTGTTTTTCCTAAGGTTTATTGCAATTGTGCTTACTAGGGCCTATTACGTGCCATCTGTTCATTAAATACACTTGTAATCGTATTACTTATGATAATTTGTCAGTATCACACATTGTATTTGAAATATTTAATAAATGCAATTATGTAATTGTGAACAGTCGAATACAAATTATTATCGGTAAATTTTGGTTTCACATAGCCTCTTTATTAAAATGTCTGAAGTATAGGCCTACAGTTGAGCAAACGCACACTTTAGGGATTATTTGAGATATTCGTTATAAACTTTCGTGTACAAAATGCACTTTTTTAAAATTAGAACATGGTGAGTCTTAAAATCCAGTAGACCAAAAAATCAGGCCGAATTATGGATTTGGCATTCTTCCAATATGAATACTTGTACTGACGCGTTCGAAAACAGTCACAATCAAGATTTAAGTAGCTGGTTTATATAATGCTGACCTTTAAATATCATTTAAAAGTGGTCAATAATTACGACAATTTAGGGGTTCAAATGCTTATTTAATAGATTCTAGAGTCACATTTACTACTATGTAGAAAATACATATATTTTTTTTCCCTCCCAGATGAATTGTGGTTTTTCTCTTCAACGGGGGTGGGGGGACGGGTGGTGAGGAAGTCTCCCCTACAGGGGAGGGATTTAATTGGTATGTTTATATTTTTCTAAATTGATTGTAAAGCCTCTGATGTTTTTACATTTTGCATAGGTTGTGTGGTTCACGGCAACGTTCCCGTACGTGGTTTTGTTCATCCTGTTGATTCGAGGGGTTACTCTGGAGGGTGCTGGGAAGGGAATCCGTTATTATATAGTTCCAAAGTTTGAGAGTCTTTTACAAGCTAAGGTGATGATAAATTGCATGAATAGGCCTATATATAGCTCTGTCCAGAATATCAAATTGTCTTCGACAAACTGTTGTATGCTCGTATATAGTCATGATGTGCCTATAAAATAATGGTCATGGTGTGATGTTATCATGACCGTATTTAGGAAAGTCGGTGTCAAAACCACCATACTATTCCTAACTGGTTAACTTAATGTTACGTTAATCATCATATTATATTTCATCCCATTTTTTTTTTTCTTGATTAGGTTTGGTTTGAGGCAGCAACACAAATCTTTTTCTCACTGGGCCCTGGGTTTGGAGTATTACTTACATTTGCTAGCTACAACAAATTTCATGACAACGTTTATCGGTGAGTTACATGGGTACGATTGACAGCAGGACAATAAAGCAGGGCTTTTTTTTTGTTTTGTTTGGTTTTTTTTTGTTAGGTCTCAGTGGTCTAATGGGTATAAAACTCGCCTTGACAGCGAGGTTGCAGGTACGAATGAATTGTTTTTCGGTGCTACGCAGCAATTTGAATATTATTTACTAAATATAT